GTAGCGGAGGTTCCCAAAGGGAGATACACCGCTGCTTCTTCCTTTGACGGTGAACGGTTCCGATGAGTCGCTGGCTGCCATGGTGTTTGGGAGGGCTGGCTCATGGCGGCGACACGAACTCGTGATCTGGCTGCACCCCCACACCCCAGACCATCCATAGGACTGGAAGAGTTATGTTTGCAGTTAATATGTTACAAGTTACAACATATCATTTACCTATAGATGGAAAAGACCCATTCATGCATGTAACACCTTCCATACCAGCGCACATCTACATGTGCCAGGTCACTACCTGGCCACCGGCTCGTCTCCATTTCAGCCACCGGGTTTCTCACTCGGACCACCTGGTTTCTGGTACGGATGGTTTGCGAGTCCGGGCCTTGTCAGCGGACACAACATGTTGGCACCTCGTTTCAGCCGCGGACGTGTGCAGGCGGACGCGGAGCGAGAGAAGAGTCTGAAGGAAGCGCAAGAGACCATTCAGCAAGCAGAGGCCGGGAGTTGGATGGGGAAGTGTCCATCACCCTAAAAATGTTCAACCATCATGACTTTAAATTGGTCTGAATCCCGAAACTAACCCCTACAGGTCAAAGACCACAGACTGGGCGTGGTCATACAAATTCCACTACTGAAGGAGGTCAAAGACCAGGTTTTACGGGGCCTTTGGACTTGTAGGGAACCATTCCATATGGATCCGCATACCTTCTCAGAAGGTCATTGGACCCTCCAAGCCTACATAAATAGTCTCCAATCACCTTCTCAGAAGGTATGTGGATCCATAGGGATTGCAATTACAGACTTTTGCACTGCAAAACCGGGTGAAATGAAGGCCAGCCTAAGGATCAGAGTGTGTCGCGCTGCTTTTGGCACAGGCAGCGAAGAAGGAAGCCATTTCCAAGGCGGATGCGGCCAGAAAAGCCGCGGAGGAGCAGGCGAGGCCATTTCCAAGACCCAGATGTTGATTCGTGCGCTGTACAGTGCTGATGTGCGTGGAGAGGCACACATAATCACAACGCTCTGCCAATCGAAGGTGTGAACGAAACGTGTGAACTTCCCAGATCAGCCCAGACACGACCCGTCTGTGACTGCCCTATATGGCCGCCCCAGACAGACCCCTCTTGTGGCCGTGAAACTCGGCAGTCCGGTAGTCCCAGACCGGGTCGTGTCTGGGGTTTGACCACCTGCCTTCTCTCCGAGCTTCTCTCCGAGCTTCTCTCCGACCCAAAGCGCCCCCCCGTTGGGACTCAGAGGACCCCAACCAGCTGGGAACACGTGACATGGGTGTGCCTGAGCTGGGAGCACTACTCCTCCAAACCTCTGCGACGGGACGGAGGAGTGACGTTTAAACAAAAATAGAAACATGTCTTCCGGAAGCTCATTGGTTTCTGGGTTCCTGTAGACTCAACAATCAGGGGTTTTTACGGAGTTTCCTACTCCAAAACCACATCAACCATGTCAAGAATAGTCTTGGAAGGCTAGGGCTTTGCATCATCTGTGAGGCTGCTAAAGAGGCAGCTGATGCGCAGCAGGCACGGCAAGCAGCAGAGGCTGCTCATTCAGAGAAGGAGAGCGCCATGTCCAGTGCGGCAGAGGCCAAGAATCTCGGCGCGCAAGGCATCTACGTCCCTACTTCCACCGAGGCAGACTACTAGGCCACGTGGGTGTGCCTTTTTATAGGAAGACCACGAATGTTGTTCTTGCAAAACTATCATCGCACCAACCGCATGCCGCTTCTTTGGGTATCCCTACCCATCTTCGATGTGGCCACCTGAAAATAGATCGGTGGATCTTCCCGAAAACCCTACGAGGAAACCTAGTCCCAAACAGAAACAGTTCTGTGTGGTTCTGAAGCTTGGCGCCAGCTTGAGATATTTGGAGATCCTTTCCAATCCCTAGGGCTCCAAGTACCTCAGAAGGTGTTTGGACCCTCCAGGCACCCACCCCAGTCCCACCTTCTCAGAAGGTACTTGGAGCCCTAGGGAATATGAAGGGGCTACGATTTCATTCTGCTTGGGAGGTCATGACACCACATTTTTGACCGGGAGGAGCTACCTCCAACGCTCAGGAAAGCCGCTGAGGAGGCCACGAAAGCGGCCATTGACAAGGCGGACAAGGCCTGGGCGACGCGAGGGTCCGGGTGGCGTGGCGAGGGCTGTGCAGCACGAGCCTGGTGAGTCGAGTTGCCAGGTGTTCCAGGGCCCTATGGATCCACATACCGAACCTCAGAAGGTCATTGGACCCTCCTGGCGCCTACATAAATAGTCTCCAATCACCTTCTCAGGTTCGGTATGTGGATCCATAGGGAGGGGGTTGCCAGGTGGAAAATCACCAGTCTCCGCAGCTGGTTTTGGGCTCGGGGCCAAATTTGACCGGGGGTCCTTCGAACTCGGGTTGCGGGTGTGACCGACCTGGAACGGGCTGGCCCCTTCTCTTCAACAAAGACCCAGCTGCGGAGTTCAAGTGGATCACTTGCAAGAGTCGTAAGATTGGGGGTGGAAAGATTGGGGACACCCCGAACTCCAATGCTCCAATGCAGCAGGTCGAACGTTCGGAGACTCCACGGAGTTTCCCACCCCACTCCGTGGCGACAACGGCGCGCAGTGGAGATCCTCGGGAGATGTTTGGCGTACACACCTGGAAAGCAAGGTCCCAAGCAGAAACAGGTCTGGTTGTTCCGCAATTCAGGTCCTTTACCATGGCAAATGGCTTGGACTGGGGAGTTCCAGACCTCTTTCTGGTTAGAACTGGTGAAACCCAGGCAGTGAAGCACGCGGACAGCTTCGGTTTTACTGGGCCATCCTGCCCCCCATGCCATTGGCTACGAAGCGAGTCTTTGCACAAACTCTGGTGACTCTACTAGAGTCTGCGAATCGATGGTCTGAAAATTGAGCATGGATGTCTTCTCCATGGCGGCTGGCGCCAGAGCAGAATGTCCGATCACGTTCTGCATATCTTCAACATTCTCTAAGTTTCAGAATGATTCAATGGCCTGTAATTTTGCTTGAGACTAGATTCTGACTCAACCAGGACCCCCCAAGCAAGGGGTGTCTATAATTACCAGTTAAGGGCCTTTAAGGGGTGTCCATTAACCACCCGGCTGGGGTTCCTGGTAGAGTTAGTTGTCACAGTCTCAGTCCAAGAAACCTCGCCATCGGTCACAGATTCGCCGGATGTGCTTTTCCCTAAAAGTCTATAGTCATGACTCATGAAGTTCCCCAGCCTTGCTTTGGAATATGCACCTTCCTCCCCAGCCTGCTCTTGGAATGTCTGTTTCTGTCGAAGTTCGACGCCAGGCCATTGCAGATGCACAGGCCAAGGTGGCGGATCATTCCTCCAAAGCTCAACAGGCGCATCAAGCCATGGAGCAAGCCGAGGCCCCACTCGCCTCCGCCGAACCGCCGAACCTGCGAGAAGACGAAGTCACTGACCGCTTGGGTGGGTTCGGTCTGGCTGGATGGGACCAGGGAGGGAAAAGGCCAGCCATGGTGTTGAAAAGTTCCAGGTCCAAGAAACGGCCATATAATAAAAGGCAAAAGGCATAATCCTCATGTGTTTGATCAAGGGAATGGAAGCACCATGTCGGCTATGAAGCACCATGTAACACCCTTTCATGAGTGTTTGGGCTCCCCAGTGGTCCGAACTGCGCTCGAAGGCCGTTCAATTCCGAGCGCAAGCCGCTGATTCCGGTCAGGCGGCGAAGGCCAAGGCCTTGGAGGAGGCCTTGATGGCGCGGAAGGTCGCGGAAGAAGCCAAGGTGGCAGAGCACGAAGCGCTCAGCGAGATGAGGCGAGGTCACGGAGCTTCAGACGTCGTCTACGCGCTCTGGAAGAAATCGAAGCCGGCAGTTCGTGGGTTCTTTTTTTGGGGGGGTAGGAGGACGGGGAGAAGTGCTTTGATCACCCATTCCGGATCCTTGGCCCGTTCACGCTCGGCGGCGCTTCCCCAAACAGCATCGCACACGTGGCCGTCTCCGTGGTCTGCTGGCGCGAGGCAACTCACGGAGAAGCAGGCTCAAGACCTGGCCGTGAAAGCAGCGGCCGCGAAGAAAGCCGTGGAAGAAGCACAGGCGGCCACACGATATACTCTGAATATGGGCCCGAATTCTGAATATGGGCCCGGATGGTGTTTGAGACTCAAGGGCAATGTCATGTGCCCTCGAATTTCTGGGGGATTCTGGCAACCCTAAATATGATCAAAGCAAAGACACATCACCTCTACATCCAAGTCACCCTCAGCGTGGGAAGGTCTTCTCAGGCTGCGCGAGCATGCTTCGTGGGTGTGCGAGCATGCAGGCAAACTGGAACATCCACAACAAGAATGCGTCGGACTTGCAAGGGAACAATGGAACAACCACAAAAGTGCAGACCTTTACCCTTTCAGATCACCTAAAGACCGTTTGCTTAAAGAATCTTAAGAACAGTCTTGGGCTTTGCCCTACCTGTTCCAAAGCACATGGTCAAGCCTGAAGCGGGGCACTGGACGGTGCCGGAAGCTGTAGCGTGAACGCCAGGCTGCGCAGCAGAAGTTGGTGGAACAGGCGCAGATGGCACGGCAGAATGCCGAGGCCAAAGCCAAGCTGGCTGAAAATTTGAAGACGCATGGCTACAGGGACGGGTGCACCCAAAAAAGGCGATTTGAGTGGAGTGAAGCATCCGGCCACACATTTCACTGCCAAAATTGGGATGTCACCGGCCAAGGACCCCCAGCACCCAAAGATAGCGAAGACAGGCGCGTCGGATCGTGACGCGAGACGGGCGCGGCGGCCGAGTCCCAAGCAGAAAGAGTTCTGGACGCTGGCGAACCAGAACGCAACCAGAAAACAACACGCTGTTTTCTGAAACGGAACTGGGTTTTAGACTAACTAGGTGCCACACCACACACCTCTTGACTCCGGAAGGTTGGTCGACCTCAGAGGCATGACCTGAACTGTCCAACTGAGTCCAATTGCCCGTGGATGTGGACACTCCGAGTTTCGATTCGTTGGACTTGATCACCCTGAAACAGGGCTCCTGTGGGACCTAATCCCACTAACCTGCCATGATTGTTGGAGGGTACCAATCACGCAAGCACAGTGCTGCAAGGCTACGGTGGTTTCAGAGTAGATGGCACTAACCTCAAGATTTCTTTTTAGAGGGGCGCCAGAATACAAACCACCAAAACTTAGGGTAACTTGTGCCATCTACTCTCAATCCACTCTAGTCACCAGCGAGTCATGCTCGTCTTCACGTGGACTTGGGCGTGATCCGTGCGTCCGGACTCCTTTGTTGAGCCCCAAATGGTTGATGTGTCCCAGTGAAATCCAGGGCGAGTTGGGAGGAAGTGGATGGGAGAAAAGGCAGAGGAAGCCATGAAGCCTTGCAGAGGCCTCCCATGTCCTCCCATATCTAAGCGATGCAAATAGAGACTGCAATGAAATCCATAGCATGTTGTTTTGCCGGGAGGGCTGGGTTTTGTAGGTCAGGCGTGAGTGGGGATGTGAGTGGGCTTGGATGACAGTCGGTTCGGGAATGTAATCGAAAAAGGATGTCAGCTGAATTCATGGATGTCCTTGTACTAGGAGTAGTAGAGGGAATAAACCCCCAGTGAACAACCAATAGGCCTATGATACTAAATCGACCCCGGGATGATTCCCCCAAGGACATTACCCAGACACTCCGTGCATGGAATATACACCACTAAAACCAGCACAAACCACCCCAGTGTCGGTCAATATGCCGGACAACACAGGACTCTAGTAGCGATGCCCTTGTTACTAGTAGATTCTCGCTACTAATTGGTAGTGCCCTTGTTCCTAGTAGTGAAAATATGCCGGTCCCATGGATTGCTTATAAGGATATTGGCTGAATTGGAGTGCGGAGGTTCAGGTCCAGGATGCGTGCCAGTTCGTTCATTGGGTTCGGCTCAGGTGGTTTGGCGAACGTCTCGTCATGCAAAACCTGGATTGTCCAACCCTAGGGCTCCAAGTACCAGGAGGGTCCAGTCATACCTTCTGAAGAGGTACGACTGGAGCCCTAGTGCAAGAGTTTTCTTTCTAGAGTGATCGCTTTAGTGGAAGCCAAACTGGTCCACCAGGCCCACACTTGACCAGATGTCCAAGCCTGGAAAAAGCAGTTCTGGTTCCCTTCAATTCCAACAACCATTCTTTGCCAAACGACATCAAACAACCCTTGCTTTACCGATCTTTTTACACTTTACACTGCAAAACCAGATCAACCACTTGAAAAGTGCTTGAAAGGAAGGGGTTTGTCCGAAGTTCTGATTATTCGCTGTTGGCCCCTTGGCTCAGGCCTACGGTTGCATTTCTGCAGCCCTGGTGATCTCACGTGGTGCCTTTTTCTGAATAGCTTGCATTCCAATTCGCATTTTTCCAGATCAAATGGCTTCGACCAACCAGATCATATCAGTTCACAGTTTTTGTCATGCTGCTTTCGGCACTGTTTTGCTTGTAGCAGATGCCTTTCTCCGTGTGGCTTCGTTCGAGCGCCCCAAAAGAAAGCCATGAAGCATTAGTTCGCGGTCAGAAGGCTCCTAGTTCTGTCGCTTGCAGCTGAACAGGGTAAGCGGCAAGGAGCTGTTGGCTTGATTCGCATTTAACAGAATTTTCACATTTTCGTCAACGCCCAGCGATCCAATCGCGCCCAAAAAACCATGGGACTCCCGACCAGACATGCCACGTTCACGGTGGCAGGGGAGGACCAGATTCAGCCCACCGAACTCCGGGCGGCGCTTGCTGGTGGGGCAGCGCCGGCCGTTGGTGCGTGCCGTACGGGACCCAAAGGCGGCGTTGAGCGTTCTCCAAAGAGCTGGCTGTTGCTCCGCAACCGAGGCTGAGGCGACCAGGTCATTGCGAATCGCCATTTCAGAGTGATGCTAGGGGGTTGTGATGGTTTGTGATGGGTTGAATAGTATAGGGAGACCTCTCAACCAATGGGGTTTAGTCGGTTTTTCTTCCTAGCAAGGAGTCTTTAGAGGTAGGCCCTAGAATACGCAATCATGAGCACAAGCGGTACACGGCTGTTCGATTCGGCTACTATGGTGTTGCTCATGAGCCACCTCCCTATACGGTGGACCATGAAACCATATATACCCTATAGGGCTCCAAGTATCTCCTCAGGCCCTAGGGAGAAAAAGAAAACACTTCGTGTGCATCCAATTCCTGTCACGATTTCCCGACTTCATGAAATACTGGAGTTAATCCCTAGGGCTCCAGTCGTACCTCCTTATAAGGTATTTGGAACCTCCTGGCACCCACCCCCGTCCCACCTTCTAAGAAGGTCCTTGGAGCCCTAAAGGGAATGATACAAAAACCCTGCGAACATGAGAGTCAGGAGACTGGACCTGGGTTAGACTGGACTGGGCCAGAGAATATGTTGCACGGGGTGGATATGGCATGAGAACGGTATTGCACCCCGGTGTTCTGCATTGCAGACTTGGTTGGATTCCAAATCTTGTAGGAGTGGCAAAAGACACGAACAGAATCCCAAAACTGTCCCCTATGCATCACTGCCCAAACCAGCCAATGAGAGTCCACCAAAAAGCCTCTCGGTGGCCTCGCTCTGGTCAGCTTAGGGAGCTCGAGTGCGCTTAAGGTGCCTTGGGCAAAGTCCCAGTTACCCAATGCCATTCGTCGCGGGACCAAAAAACCCTCCGCTTCGGCGTGCCCCCTGGTCGTCACGACTCCTCAGTTCCGGCGCCCGGTGCCGGGGCAGACCGATCCGGATGAAACGCGAACCTCGAGGCGAACCTCGGGCGGAGCAGCGGCATGGACCATGGCATATATTACGGTTTGAGTCACTGGCGAAGGAGTCGGGAAGCTTTTTGACCACAGCTTTCGACCTCGTCACCCCGGTCGATGTCCTCCGGTCGAAACAGTTCTGCGGATCGGTTTGGTCCGAAGGTCGAAGCTGAAGGCGCTCGATGTCGAAGGTCTTCAGCTCGAGTTCGGTACCGGCAAGTGATCACATGATCACATGCATATCACCAACTCAGCCAGCTGGATTCAGAACTGGGCTGCTCCGATGTCAATGAACTTGCCGGCAAAGTCTCTTCCTGGCAAGTACGGAATGCCGAGAGAAATGTCCGTGAGCCCCAAAGCCAAGAGGCGTTCTCTTCCCCCACCCCTTTGGCGCTTCATGTCATGCCTTCATCAAGTGTACTCCACATTGTGTGGACCGAATCTGCGCTGAAATGTTTGTGACGAGAAAGCTGGTGTACGTCACCCAGACACGACCCGTCTAGGACTGCCATGTCGGACTGCCCCAGCACAGACCCCCCTTTTCAACCAACCAACCACCCCTTTTTGCCGTGAAAACTCGGCCGTCCAGAAAGTCCCAGACCGGGTCGTGTCTGGACTTGGCCCTCAGAACCGGCCCCATCCGCGGTGTTTTGGGAGCGCTCCGGTGCTGAGCGTGTCACCGGATGGTCACCGGTCACCGGCGTGCAGCACGTGCCCGAAACCTTCGGACTACACATAGTCCGTCCGAAATCATCACGTAGTACGTGGATGACTTATCCCAGACACTCCATGGGACTGCCATATATGCCTACATTGGGCCCTCAAACCACCCCAATGTAGGCATATATGGCATACATGGAGTGTCTGGGTATGTTCTATTCAATTCCAAGACCAGCCAGACCGGTGCTTCTCCAGAAGCAAATGGATGGACACTCCTGAGTCCCCATTTCCGTAAAGGATCTATGGCGCGCCAGCGCCAGAACTTGGAACAACCCGAACTGTTTCCGGTTGGGACCGGGCTTCCAGGAAAGAGTGTGAAACGAAAAAGAATGGCTCCCGCCCCGTCACTCGCTCGATCTTTGTGTAGCAAGGCTCACAAGTGTGTGCTTTGACCGGTGGCGGTCTTTTTGGGAGGAAGGCGGACTATAGGTACAAAAGACATGGACAGACTGCGGCAACGTGCATGTGTCAAAACACATCCACGGGCAATCCGGTGAAGTCTAATCTCGGCAACCGCACAATAATGCACGATATATCATGTATCACAATATGATATAGAATGCTTGGAATGTTGATGTTGTGATGTTCGTGAGAAATCCAGTTCTGAAGATTCATCTTTCAAAGCAACGAAGGGAGGGCAGCCGCTTCGTCTTTTCACTTCGTGATGGGCATCTCACCGTCAAAGCCCTCGGAGGAGGACACCGATTTGGTTCCGATCTGGTTCCGATCATCGTTCTGCCGTTCTACCAATTGGTTGGTCCAAAAAATTCAATGGGCATGGATTTGAACGGGGAGACCTCGCAAGCAATGGATTGGTCGAACTGGGCGTGTCCCCCCAAATGACCCCGACCTGGCAATAGAGCAGCAGCACCCTGCATGGGTTCCTTCCAACACGTGGACAACCAGGAGCTGGAGACCCTCAAAGATGACATTGATGTCGCTGGGCGAAAAGTGTCATGGAATTCTAGGAATTTAGAAGGGGCTAGTAGCTGAAAGCTACTAGTAGCAGGGGCATCGCTACTAGTAAAAAGCGCAAAAAGTTACTATAAAGAATCTACTCAGTTTTGATATCCTGATGATATCTGATATCTGTGAAGCACTGTGCAGATGAAGCACTCATGAAGCCTGGCATCGGACGGCCATCATCAGCAGCCTTGATTCGGCTATGATCAAGTTAAGTATCAGGATTATATCAGGTATCTCTTGTGGGGGATTCAATTCAGCCACCTTCAATCCCTCTGCAATTTCTTCATTCCATTTCATTCCGCACCACGAAGAAGTCGCAAGCGTCGTCGCACAGCTCCCACCTCTTCCACCGCCTCTTCCACCGCTCCCGCCCTCCCAAGGCCTGTTGCCACGAAGTCGCCGAAGCGCTCAAGCGCGCCGATGCCGGGGGAACCCGGACGCACCGTGGAGAGCGTCGGGGTGCCGATCCTTGGAAGTCGGGGTCTCTGAATGATCCACTCATCTCGGGACTCTAAAACTACCCAACTCCCAGGTGACTCCTGGTGTGGTATCGGTGATGTCTGTTTGCCACCAAAAGACGTGGTCTTTGTGACAGGGTGGCTTGGGTGACCTCCGTCGCGTGACGGAGGATGGATCCCCAGGACGAACATTCGTTCCGTTCGGTTCGTTGATATTGAAAGCAACCGAAGGAAGTCGGAACGAATTGATTCAAAACCCCAACCGAAATGGAAAGCAGGCCCTATACTAGGATTCGTTCATTTCGTTCATTTCGTTCGTTGAAACCAACCCTACGGCCCTACAGCTATACTAGGAGTCTTCTTGTTCGTGCGTTTCATACCTAGGATTTCGTTCGAAGTTGGAAGCTCGCTTCCCGTTCTCCGGGCTGTCTCGCTGTGCAGGGGATTTTCGCTGTGGGGGGATTGTCGCCACAAGATAGAAGATTCAAGCTCGACAGATGGACAGAAGGGGAACATCTTGGGGTTCGGTTGATCCTGGCTCTAGCTACTAGAGCTGTTGTTTGTGTGTGTGAGTCATCTCAGCTTGACACACGGCCAACACTCTGTGTCTCAGCCTTCACCGGTCCTCTACTCTCCACGAGTCACTCAAGCATGGCGAGACGTTTCTTCTGTGGGGCTTCTTTTGCGAAGACGCTGTGAAGCTCCCGGCACGCGCAGCACCACGGCGGGCGCAGGTGCTCTTGCTCTGTGCGGGCGCAGGCTTCTCCGCTGATTCCGGGCTTCCAACCTACGAGGAGCTCGGTATCCGTGGACGTCCGTGCGACCCCAAAGTCGTGGACTTGGAAGGTGTTCCTCCGCAGCTAGCAGACAGAAGAGTCTTTGAGGAAGCAAGTATCAACAACCGGATATAGTTCTTTCTCTACATAATTCAAAATAGATTTGTATAATGAATTTGTATAGTGTGATGTAGTATAAACATACTATGTGTGTTCTTTATGCAGGAGATCGCCAATGTCAAGATCTATCAGGACGGGCCTTTCCTTTCAGTTCCAGTCTTTGGAGTGCTGAAGTCTGGACCTATCCAGGAAGAGTGGATCACTTTTCAACTTTTGGGGGGGATTGATTTGCACGATATAGGTACTTAATATACCGGCCTGAGTGAGCGGAGGCACAACTGTGACTCGCCAAAATATTCGTTGTGTGTTTCATGGCCTTTTCATGGTGTTTTTCCTATCAAAACAGGTGTCATGTCTGGGCTCTTAGGTACAAAAAGGCTCAAAGAACCCTATGAAAATCGTTTCCAAGCAGCAACCCGTCCGATCTGTCCCAGGATTTGGGCCTGAAATATGACGACATTTGCCGGTGCGACCCCCGCGGGTCCGAGACAAGACCGAGTTTAGGACGGAGCGTTGGCTGCGGACGACCGGAGCGTTGGCTGCGGACGTAGCCGGTGTCCTGCGGAGCGTCGTCTTCTCGTCTGAAGGCTATCGGAAGGGCGGGTCCCGGCGGAGCTCGGGGGGCAGCGTCCGGGTGGCTTCTAGGTCGCTCCGGATGAAGGGTCCAGCCGTCAGCCGGGTGTTCTTGTTTCTTCATCCGCGGAGAGGGCGGAAAATGCGGAAGATGCAGAAGTTCTGCAGAAGTGAACCGTTCACGGGTGAGTATTCGGCCAAGTCGACCTTTTGGAGCCAAGTCGTTGTAATCCCGGAGGACTTCGGAACTGTCATGGCATGTCACAGAAACAGAAACGAGTAGATCTACTCCTCAAAGACGAACCACCCCTGTCTCTCTAACATAGGTCCTCTCGACATCGACATCGCGCCAGCATGTCGTGTGAAACCACCACGTCGCTGTGTGCCATGAGGCCGGAGTGGATGACCCACGATCCAGAGATCTTCTATGGCTTCTGGGGCTCCTGTTCCTTGGCGCAACCGACGGAGAGGACGACCGGACGTGGACGAAGACCGACCCGGAGTAGAGGACGTAGTGTCCAAAGGGCACCTTCCGTTCGAGCAGTCTAAGAAATGGTAGACCTGGGTGTTGTGATGTAAAGATCTGTAAAGGTCCTTAGTAAAACGACCAGCACCTTCCAAGGGGTCATCAATGGAAGCCCCATCCACTACTCACTACTTATGGATCTCCATTGGACGCTCCTTGCAACGTGAAAGGTCCAGGAATAACATGGAATCACATGCTTTTGATTCAGCCCTTTTTTGCCATCCACTTCAGGGTGTCCCGAGACACGGCGTGTCCTGCGAACGTTCAGCACCGGGCGAAAGCGGCAGGTTACAACGATTACCGGGACACCCAGCCTCATGAGGCGAGGAACACCTGTCGTGGGCGAACTGAGATGTGTGGGCGAATGGTCTGCCGCAATGGTGGGCCAAACCAGCAGTGGGTTTGATCGTGTCGATTTGCCCCACTGAACAGTGGGTTTGGGTCAAGTTCTCTTTGCCAAGTGGACGAGGCCAAAGTGAGTTAGTCGACAGTTGGTCATCGGGCACTTCCCAGGTTGGGAGTGGACACCCCTTAACTGCTAAGGGGTTAAGACTGCTATACTATATATTCCATTTCTTATGGATTCCTGGGTACCTTAGAGAATGTGCACCATGACTGAGGACGGCCTCATTTTGGCGGATCGGATGATGCGTTCACCCGGCCAACCGCAACCCGCCAACTCCATGCAAATCCAGAACGCCTTTGGGCTCACTGCGGCCAGGGCTACAGCATCCTCCGCAGCTGGCGCGACGCGCGCTTCAACACCCCAACGCATCGCGTCTCGAAGTTGATCCGAGTGTCCTTGGAGCAGGAGCAGCGTCACAGTGCCGTCACAGTGCCGTCACGGTTCGATGGAACGGTTCGACGGTTCCGTCACTGGAACGGACCGGTGGAGCGCAGTGAGAAAACACGAGAAACCTAACAGAGGTTGAAGAACCCTACATATAGACTATCATATAGGTACCCCAGTAAGGTCCTATTTACGGTCACTTGACCTCTCTTGGAATGCACGTCTGTCTGTCTGGCGCGCAGGAAATGGCTGCCATACCGAGCTGAGTCCTGAGATAAGGATCAGAGAGAGAGAGAGAGCTCCAAGGGAAAATGGGTGACTGGTGAGAAAGAACCGGAAACTTCGTTTGGACTCATGCACCTTCACATTCATACAGGTCCAGAAGAACATTATGATATTGGTATTTTCATGGATTTGTTTTAGACCCAGAAGATCACCCAAAGAGAACTTCCACCCAACGTCGTTCTTGCGTCACCACCACCTCAAACCCCGCGGAGGAAAGCCACACCCGCGCGCGCAGAACGCTCTTCGTTGCAGGTGCCGAGCGGAAACCCGAAGCCTATGAAGTGCAAGGCCAAGCGGTGCGGAGCCCCCAGAGTGGTCAACCCGAACCGCGGAGGGAGACCGGAGAGAGCGAGGTGGGCCAAGGCCCGCTCCTTCGAGGCCGGAGAAGTCGATTTCGGCGATGTGGACCGAACTTGGGTCGTCACTTTCGGTGATCCGAAGGGCTGGGAATGGCATGTAAATGTCTTGTCTTCACGACCGAATCGTCCCAAGAAGAACTATGTCGAACTGGACTTCTATACGGAATACAAAACCCATCAAAACACCCTGGAATGAGTCAAATGAAAATGAACGAACCTGTGTTTGTACGTTGATTTCTCTCACGTTGTCGGGAAAAAAGAAACATGTTTGTTTGAACACCAGATTGGTTGGAAGTGTGTGGAGAGTCAGAATAGATCAGAATAGTGGAATTCTTCATGCTTGGAGTCAATTTGTTGGAGAAGGAATGTACTTTGTATGCCGTATGCTAATGCTTTTTTGTGGGTGTCTTTTTGGCCGGTTCTTTGTGAGTGTGGGCTGCCTGTGATGATTTGATATCATCTGTGTTGCCTGTGGACGGTGAAGCGACACTCAACAGGATCTTCAGAGTTCAGCACCTCCGTTCTGTCAAGTTCGTTTGACAGTCTGTCAAGTCGTGGCGACTGTCTAGACCAGTCTGACTCTTGAGGCGGAGTCCCCAACATAAAACATATTTCAAGGTACCAGGACCTTCAAAGTGACCTCTTTGGAGTCTGTAAGTGACCTCATTCTGGGATATCAAAAGGTCACTTTGAAGGTCCTGGTAGATGAACACCCTGGAGAACACCAAGTGGTCGACCGAGTTCGCTGTTTTTGTTCAGCGCCTCTTTTCTGTCCGCAAACTGCAGGGTGAGCTTCTCAACGAAAAGGAACCGCTGCCCACGATTGGCACGGATGCTTTTTGCACTTTGAGGAAAAAAAATACACTTCTTCCACCCAATGATCTCTCATGATCTCCGGATATCTCCGGCGTCCTAACAATGCCATGCATGTGGGCCATGGTGTTTTCCTCTGTGTGACCCAAGGGCGCCTTCTTCGTGTACACCTCCAATGTGGATGCACACTTTCATGACTTCTTCGAGCCCTATGAGGCCCCTGGAACCCGCACCCAGGGGTGGTTCGCTCGTTCCGCGAGTTCGCTGTCAGCCGGTTGGAGCGAAGGGAAGGGAAGGAACCCTGGCGGTAGGTGGAACTTCCGTGAGAACTGCAGAAGGATGAGCTATACTAGGACCCACAGGGGTGGTAAATGGACACCCCCTAACCTCTAAGGGGCTATCAATAGACACCCCTTGGCGTGTCCTGGTAGAGATGAAGAATGAGAAGTGTTTGGGGGGAAAATTCTTATGAATTCTTAAGATGTGGGATTCGGCCCGCTGATTCATACACGTCACAGCTACTTGTCAGGGCGGTGTCAGGACTTGTTGGCGTCACCGCTTTGGGCAAAAAGCCCTCTCACCGGGGATCTCATCTTCGGAGGTCCGTGGATCACCTGCGCGTTTCACCGTGCCTTTTTCCGTGCGTTTCACCTGCACGGTGAGTTTCGCCACCACACTGGGTTTTGGACGGTTCGCCTGCTTTGGTACCGACTCAACACGGTGATTTCAGGGTGAAAGATCAGATCAACCGCAGTGCTTCGAAAATCCGTGGACAAAACGGACGGATAGAGATGAAGAGAATGGGATCATGGGCACCCCGACTACCTCCATGGATCGCACCCCAAACGGATAGAGATCAGATGAATCTCAGAGAGAAGAAGAAAGAAGTTCCACAAGTCGAATTGGCTTTTTGGGGTGTCGGAGGATGGGGAGGATGGGACGAGCCCAAACCAGCCCCGAACCTCACAACAGTCCTACTCACAGTCTACGGATTCCTTCATATGGGACGAGGCAAAACCACAACGGCCACGGCCATGCAGGCCACGCCCATGGGTTTCTGGCTGGAATGCATGTGATTGTTGAGAGGGATTGGCGAATGCATGTCACGAAAGGTAGCTTGAGCTACCTGAGTTCTCCTTGCTTTAGCAAAAATGTATTAGAATCAGGGGTTGGGATTGTGCATTGAATTTGGTCCTGTAAGAGTTGATTCTGTTC